CTGTGAGTCTGTGAGTCTGTGATTCTGTGATCTCTGCTGCATGCTTAGAGTAGTGGTGGCAAATCTCTGACATGAGAGAACTCCCTGTTCTGTACGGGGCAGCCAGGCTTGATTGTGTTAATTGTAGACAAAGGTATTTTGTGACTTCCAAAATAGTGCATTTTCCCACTCCACGTTGCTGCTTCACTTAAATAAAGAACCTAGGGAGCTGTACAACGTCCTGGAAAAAAAAGGATTTCTTTCTGTTGACGATCCATCCCCACCATTTACTTTCCTTCTGTCTCCCATCAGGTTTCTGCATGTTTGTCTTGAGCCTGGTGAAGAAACACTATCGCCTCCAGTTCTACATGGTAAGGTTAAAGGAGTTAAGTTGGAGGCAGAGGGAGGAATAGCGTAGGCTGCTGGAGAATGTTGTACAGAGGAATATGTGTCAGTAGATGCTTCCGTGCTGGTTGTGCATCGTAACGCTGCTGGGAAGAGCAGTTACTGGGAGCAGGTGGTATGTTGAGGAAGGTGGCTCTCACCAGATTTCCCTGCAAATGTGATTTCTCTTCTCTCTGCGCTTGTGGATGCCATTAAGAAGCTTTCTGCAAGCTGAGAGGACTGCACAGGGCCCCTTGGCTCTTGTGCTGAGGGTAGGTGGCCACCATGGGATCATACAATCACAGAGTGACCTTAAAGTCCCCCAGGTCCAACCCCCATGGGCAGGGACACCTCCACCAGCCCAGGCTGCTCCAAGCCCCGTCCAACCTGGCCTTGGGCACTGCCAGGGAGGGGGCACCCACAGCTTCTCTGGGCAACCTGGGCCAGGGCCTCACCACCTCACAGGGGCACAGGGGAGAATTTCTTCCTAATATCCAGTCTAAATCTGCCCTCTGCCAGTTTAAAACCATTTCCCCTTGTTCTATCACTACCTGCCATTGTAAAAAGTCCCTCCCTGGCTTTCCTGTAGGACCCAAGGTTAACTGGCTACATCCCCCTTGTCCCAAACATCAGTTTGTATTTGACCATTGACACAGCTGATTTTGCTTTCCAATACATTCAGCACACAGGGTATGGCTTGGATACCCATCAGTCCTGTGCTTTTCTTACATAGTCAGAAGGCTGAGTGAGATGAATGGGATAGGGTGGGCTAAGGAGCATTTGGTCCTGCAGAAGTCATCCCAGTGAAGGCTTGAGCTGAAGGACATGCCCATAAATCACTACGGGTGACGGTTCCCTGCTCTTTGTGACTCTTGGTGTTTGTCGTGGTGAAGGCGCGTGCTCGAAATCACACGTGCAGGAGCCGTTCTCTGTCTGAGGTAGCCAACAGCGTCTGGTTTCTGCAGTGAGGCATTTGGGCAGGGTCTCTGGGCAGGCTGGACTGCACGCTGTCTTCTCTTGCAGTTCGGATGGACCCACGTGACATTGCTGATTGTCGTTACGCAGTCGCACCTCATCATTCACAACCTGTTTGAAGGGATGATCTGGTGAGTTGCCGTGCGTTCTCAGTTGTTTTGGTTTCTGCAGCCCGAAACTAATCACCGTGATTTGAGTTTAAACCATTCTTGTCAAAACTCAAATGGCCAAGGAGAAGGTGCTTCCTGTGAGGGACCAACCTGTTCAGAGCAGAGAAGGAAAAGATTGAGTAAAACCTGAGCATGTGCTTTATGCTACTTGAGTAGCACAGAGAGTTGTTGTAAAGAAGCATCTGAAATTTGTTGTGAGGTGCAGGCATCTTTCAGGCAGTGTCAGGCATTGGAGATGCTTTATTGTTATACCCACGTCTAGCAAATGGATGGGAAAGTCCTGCTCAGCACTTGATTTGGGGCAATGCTGCCAGCGTAACATTAAAAGCAGCGTTGTGAAAGGAAGGAGATTGCAATCTGCCACCTGAGTCCAGCTGCTGTGCAGAGGGGAGGCCCCTTTGGTGTCTGCCCAAAACCAGCAGTGCCAGGCACTAATTCTGGCTGCTCTAAGATTGTGTGTTCCTCTGTCCATAACCAGACCAGAGTGGAGCTGCCTGCCCATAGCTAAAACACAGCCTCTCTGGGGGGAAAGGAGGTGGCTGTCTAACAGAATGTCATGGGTGGCGAAGGAAAATGTGCTTAAAACAGGTAATTTTGGGTCCATGACCTGCTTTTTAGTCCAGAGCACTGGAGTAATCCCCCAGGTTTCCCTAGCAGCTGCCAGTGGCTGCTCCTTGCATTGCATTGAAGGGGGAGACGTCGCCGTGGTGGCCCTGCAAAGCACCTGGTGAAGCAACTGCACGTTTAGTGAAGTCCTGGAGTTGTCTGACGTGGCACTTTTTGGTGGTTTGCTGCTTCTCCTGTCTAGGTTCATCGTCCCGATCTCCTGTGTGATCTGCAATGACATCATGGCGTACATGTTCGGGTTCTTCTTCGGCCGCACCCCGCTCATCAAGGTTTGTAAGCTTTGCTGGACAACACAGGCATTTTGACTTCTTTGGGTCTTAGTCCCGTGTTCCCTCATCTCCAGTTATGTCTCTTTTTGGGGGTCTAAAGCAAGCCTCCAAATTAAACTTGCTGTGCATCCCAATCGTCGAGGCTGTGCAGTGAGCTGTTTGGGACTGAGATGTTACAGTCAGGTTCTGACCAAACACTTATTTGTTGGACGTTGGCACTTTTGGTATTTGCCTCGGCAATTCACAGGTGAAGGAAGGCTGCAGAGGTGTGTGGAGATGGGCAGCTTGTAATTCTCTCTGTCTCTCTCTGGCAGCTCTCCCCAAAGAAGACCTGGGAGGGTTTCATTGGAGGATTCTTTGCCACCGTTTTGTTTGGATTGCTGGTAAGTAGCACTCATGGTGCTTATTTCATTGGTGTTTTCCTTTCGTAGGGTGACAAGGTTTTGTCTAAAAAGCGCCTGAGAGCTTTAAGCTCTCCCAGCTCTTGTCAGAGACTTCACGTTTTCCTTAGTGACCAGGGTTTGACCTGGTCCACGGCTGTGTTTTGAGCAGATGGAGTAGGTACCAGAGGAAGTTTAGTCCCTGTTACACCCTTTGCCATGCTCATTGCAATAATTACCCTTGCAACTTTCTCTCTGCTGCAGCTGGATGCATGCTATGCATCACTTCAAGGGGTTTTTGGGAATTCACTCCTGGAATATTCGTATCTGGTTTTGTGATGACCTCTGTGGTTGTTCCTCTCAGCCGAGTGGTGCAGCCTGTCTCACCCTGTTCATCTGAGGCTCTGCTCGCTGATGCACTTACAGATGCACTTACAAACCGAAAATGCTTACTCTGCCTTTAGCCAATTACCGCTTCTCAGGAGAGTAATCTTCTTAATGAAGCTGGGAGCGCGGCTCCCTCCTCGCCGTGTCTCCTTGAGTGGCCTTTTCCCTTGCCACATCGCTCAGGAAAATATTAATCCTGCTTTCTCTTACCACGTCTCTTTTTCTGTCTCCTTGAAGCTGTCCTACGTGATGTCTGGGTACCGGTGCTTCACCTGCCCGGTGGAGTTCAACAACGACACCAACAGCTTCACCGTGGACTGTGAGCCCTCCGAGCTGTTCCAGCTGCAGGAGTACAACATCCCCGTGGTGCTGCAGTCCGTGGTGGGCTGGGTAGGACTCTCTTTGTTTGTTGGGCCTTATTTCTTGGTAGAAATACAGTGTTATTTTTATGGTCTTCGAAGGAACGCGACAAGGGATGATGGTACATCTATAAAAAGGAGGAATTGAGCTCCGTGTTGGTTGAAGACTCAATGAAACTGTACCAGGTCTGGTGGGACATTAATCTACTTGAAACCCAACTGGTCTGAAGCCTGGAAAGCACAGAAAGAGGGGCAAGTGGTAGACAGGGCTTTAAAAATCCTTCTCTGATACCTTTTTCTTTCTGCAGAAGACAGTCCGGATGTTCCCCTTCCAAATCCACAGCATCGCGCTCTCCACTTTCGCCTCCCTCATTGGGCCGTTTGGAGGCTTCTTTGCTAGCGGATTCAAGAGGGCCTTCAAAATCAAGGTGAGGATGGTCGAGGTAATTTATGTTTTAGAAAGGAAAGACTCAGTGGTCGCTACCACTCTAACCAGTCGCTGTGCTCTGAGGAGTGGCAGGCTGAGAGCTTTGGGAAGGAGAGAAGGTTCCTTCAGTCACAGATAAGGTGTGGGTACAGGATGTAGGTTTTTTGACTGAATGGAGAGAGACATTAAGATTTCAGCTGTGATATTCTAAACTCTGCTTTGATGCAGAACTTGAGGTAGAGGAAGAAAGACCCAGTCAGGAAATTTTGCAATCTGAGGCTTCCCTTGATGTCTTGCAGGCTGGTTTTAGGTATAAACAGTCTGTATTCAGTAAAGATGCCTTGAAAGGCAAGACAGGGTTTCAAGAGACAAGCATTAACCTTCCTTCACCTTCGAGTGACAGATCTGAGTGAAGCCTTGGTGTCCCTCAGGCACTGCTAGTCCTCCTAAAGGAGAAACTTTTCAAACCAGGGAGACATTAAACAAAATGTCATCTTAGTCTGACTTCTGCCTTCTGGGAAGAGTTAGAGCAAGGGCACGAGGTACACAGGTGAGTGCATTTGAGACTGCCAAATAACACATCCCTCCTGCTTTGCACAGGACTTTGCCAACACGATCCCAGGGCACGGAGGCATCATGGACCGCTTTGACTGTCAGTACCTGATGGCTACCTTTGTTAACGTGTACATCGCCAGCTTTATCAGGTATTTCTTGCTTTCATGGTGAAGTCTGGGGGCCCTGTCAAACTCAAGTGACATACGGGCTTGTAATAAGAGACAGTTTGTGTCCTTTGAGATTAACATCTCAAAATACAAGATACAGGAAGAGAGGAAGTGGCGGCTTGAAGAAGAGGGTAATGAAGAGGTCTGTTATTCCAGTCCCTCTGAAACTCCTCCTCCTGCATCCCTGTGAATCTTTCCAGAGCTGAACCCAATTTTGTAGCATTAACAACTATTCTGGAGCCAAGCACAGAAGAAAACCTGTAGGTGCATGAAAGATGTACTGAGAGGAACTGTCCCTATGTGGCTGCTTTGATTTTTGAGGGGGAGCATCTGCTGCTAAGGGAAGATGCACAACCCTCTTGAAATAGATTGGGTTTGGGGTTTTTTTTGTTTAAACTTGAGCGTCCTGTGCATTTTGAATCCGTTTCTCCATCTCAAATGGAGTTAAGCTCCCCAGGTTGAACTGGTGAAGGAATGGGCAACACAGCTATTACTTAAAGCCTGTTATTTTGATGAAATCTGCTTCCTCGATCATTAAGACTTAGCGATGCGACTCACAGGTAATGATGCTTTTGTGTTGCAGAGGTCCTAACCCCAGCAAACTGATCCAGCAGTTCTTAACCTTGCGGCCAGACCAGCAGCTGCACATCTTCAACACGCTAAAAGCACACCTTGTGGACAGGGGTCTGCTGGGTGGCTTGGAGGACGCGTAGACAGCCGGGCGATAACGGGACTGAAAGCGGACAAGCCTCTCCGAGGAAATTCCTGGCTTGCCTGATTTAAGACAATAACAAGGCCTCATTTCACTGTAACTTTTCTTCCTTTCTCGGTAAATGTTTGCATTTGTGGTTTTTTTTAAAATAATCTATTTATATAGCTTTGGTTCAAACGAGCAAACCTTGAGAGTTAAGGCTGGGAAGGACTGGGTGAAGCAGGAGGGTACGACTGTCCTCGTGGTCTGTGCTTACCCTTCGATGTGGGCAGAGCTGAACCTTTCCTGCGAGTGTTTATGCAGGGAACACACAAAGCGTTGTCCGTGCAACCACCTCTGTGCATGGGAAGGTGAAGCTGGGCAGCTCCCTTGGCCGCTGTGCCAGGTTCTGTTCACGACGCCGACTCCGAGGACCACCCTTTCCTCCAGTGGTGACCACGAATGCAATGTTGATTTTCCCAAAAAGGCACCTTTACACCTGGGTGCGGTCTCCTTGCGGACTGCACGAGGCTCCGTTAATTGCAGGAGGATCTTGTATTGATCCAGCCACGTTTCCTCTCCCCGCCCAGGCACCTGCATCTATTTTCACTTCTTTGCAGTGCCTCTCACATTCGCCCTCCCCTTATGGGTGATATTTTGGCAAATAAGATTTTTATAAAGAATTAAACCAGAAACAGACCGGGGACAAGGGGTCAAGAGACTGGTAGTTGTGTGTGGGAATGTGGGAGACCAAAATTGCTTCAAAACTGAACCAAGTAAATGGGTTTTACAGAACATTGAAGTTTCATTGAGTAATTCCTGCCAAGTAAGAACAACCCTTTAAATCCCTGGGGTCATTTTTTCCCCCATTGAATAACCTTTAAGGATCATTTCACCACACTTTTTCATTTCCTGATGGTTGGAAATGCTGCACTGGGATATTTTAACTGATTTGGAGAGCAGTTTCCAACTTGTTGTTTTAGTGAAGTTTGCTGTGGGGCTCCAGCCCCCCCCGCTGGTTTGGTTTTCTTTCAGGGATCACGTCTATCACCTGTTTGTTACTTGAGTTTAGATGTTGTGCTGCTGAATTTATCACGGTCTGTGTTGCATTTCAGTCTGGGTTCATTTACCTGCGGGCTTCTGTCCTGCTTCGCTTACTAAATCTTGTCAGAAATAGTTTGTACGTAACAGCTGCCACTTTTACCTAAGTACTTCCCTTTATTTTGTCGTACTTCTTTATTATTTAAAAACGAGAGCCCTAAAGATTGTAAAACTTTTATTTTGTGCTCAGATAGTGAAAATATCCCCAGTTTACACCTTATGCAGTGTTCCCAAACACGAGGTCAATCTTATTTTACTTCTTTCCATAGTTTGCACACGAGAGAGAGAAACTTTACCTGATTTCAACCTGGGGAACGAGTGACAGGGCCAGACAATACAGAAGTACACTGCTGTTGGCAGACAGTTGCTGACACAGACCCTACACGCAGACACCCCATACAGAGCCATGTACCCGCTGCACGCTAGCTGAGCACCGGCGGAAAATAAACCACCTGAATTTCCTGGTTCACCTCCGTATCCAGGCCTTGCCATCGCTTTCATTTGCCCTGAGCGAGCGAGAGCGCGCCTGTAAATGCATTAACAGATACCAATTGCACTCTTAGCTTTCTATAGGACTTCTTCTGTACAGTAAACTCTGCTGCGTCTCCCTCGACAGGAACCACAGGGCACTTTGTGCCCATCGTACTGCAAATACAGGTATTTGATTGAGAGCACACATTTTGCAGCAGCAGCATATAAATATATATATATATGGCTCCATCCCAATGGAGCCAGTTCAGGACTGCATTTGGGTGATGCCAGGGGTGTATGGAGAGGCTTTCCTGGGCTATTTGTGGAGTCCGTTCCCTTCCAGCTTGAATTAGGCAGGGATTTATTTTCTGTCGAGTTAAGAGGATCCAAGCCACTACTTGGGAAATTGGAGGGCAGGGTTAAGGTGTTTCCATCTCGCTTTGCCCAAGGAGAATATTTGGGCTGTGTTGAATGACAATTTGAGTTTAGGAAGGCAAAGTGAGGGCAGCTGTTTGGGCTGGGAATGGGTGTGGAAGTGACAGGGTTTTGTGTTGTCCCTAAGAAGGAGTTTGCCCTGTGGGGACAGACAAGCTGGTGCTTTTCTGGATTCTCCCTGCCCCTTGCCAATATCTGCCAAAAATCCCTCGTCGTGCACTGTTGGGTCCTAAATCAGTCAGCAGAAGCTGTAGTGTCAATAAATATTACAAAAGTGTACTGCTCTTTATATGAAGAAGTTTTTCATAGGGGTCTGTAGCCTCCTGCTCGTCTTGCTTGAAACCTTTTGTACCTCTTCAGTTGTAATTAGTGGGGCAAAAATCGGACTTAGCAAAGCTTTTCTGCATGCTTGGAGTAGCGGTTGGGCCTTTTTGGAAGGGTGTAGTGCTGGGTGTGCACACTGGAGGGCAAAGTGGTTGCGTTCAGTGGCTTCCCAGGGCTGGGAGAGCAGCAGCAGCAGCAATAATAATGCGTGGGGCTGCTTTTCCCGATGAGCTCCCAGCTTTATCCCTGCTTCCTTCCCAGCACTGCAGTTAACGGGTGGATTCCCAAGCCTGTTTTGATCCTGAGGGGTGAAGCTATGTGGAAAGGGTTTCTTGCACTGAGGTTTAGTGAATGGAGTGGGAACACTGCATCCATTTGAGAGATGGAGGAGGAAGGGAGGGAGATGGGGGTTGCTAAGATCATTTGCAAGCTGTGCAGCTGGTTTAGCTGAGAAAAATACCAGTGAACTGTCCTCCGTGGGGCTGAGAGCTGTGGCTGCAAACCCACGCGTACACTGCTGGTGTGAGTCTGTGTGATGGCACTGGTGACAGTGTGAAGGCCAGGGAAGCACTCGGTGGCTTTTCCCCACCAGCCCAGGCTGTGAGTGGCTTTAGTTTCCATAGATATTTCAAGTTAGACTTAGAAAGTTAGAGGAAGTGAAAAGCTGATGTTCCTGGCTCTGGCTGTCATGAAGGAGTGAACTGTGTAACCAAGGGACGTGGAGCAAGACACCTTGCACCTCTTCTCATCGCACTGAGCTTTGCAGGACCTTGGTCGTGCTGCAGCTCTGATGGGAATTCGCTTCTCCAGGTCTGGCTGTGGCCCGTTTGGGTTTGCAGATTGGATGCATCATGGCCTGCAGTGCTCAGCAAGACATCAAAACCAGTTTGAGCATACGGTGTCACATCCTGTACCCATCGGCGTGTATTACTTAGATATTTCTGGGAGTGATGGGCTCAGAAGTCTGCTCTGAAGGGGCGGCTGTTGTCTGGGGTTTATGATGCCCCGTGCAGCTCCTGAAGCTGGAAATCCCGTAGCATCAGCTAAGGCTTGGCAGCAGGCTGTGAAAGGCTGGTATCTATATCCGAGGTGTGTCTCCTGTTTCCGATGTGTGCAGCGAGTTCCCCCAGCCATGGCTGTGGTGGGATCCTGGCATCTCCTGCCTCCTCACCTCCTCTGAGCGCTGTGTGAGGAAGGAGGAGGGCAGAGCTGTGTGGAAGGTGTCCCACGGCCCACCCGGCCCTTCCTGGGGACAGGCGTTTGTCCCAAAAAGCATTGTGTGAAAGCTCCTGTGGTTCCTGCCCTCTGTAACCAGCCCCGGAGGTGCATTCTGTACTGCTGTAATCTTTGTGTGCTCCTGTTCTCCAGACCCGATGTGTTTCCTCCATCCGCTTCTTTCTCTGTGCATCGTTCTTTTGATTAACGTTTTAGCTACACACGTAGAGTTGCCTTTCTTTGACCGAATGTCCGAATGTGATATATTGTATATTTTAAAGTATTTACCCTATTTATATACTGTATGTTACTCTTAAATAAATATAAGTTCCATTATCGGTAGTGGAGTTTTATTCAGCGCTGTCGGTAAGGGGGGAGATGCTGAAAGCCTCCTTTCTGTGCTCCATAGAGCAGATTGGTCTGGTTTAAACACGGATTCCCAAATTCCTTGTCCCATAGCTCTTGTTCCTTGGGGATATTCCCAAGAGCAGACCTGGCTGTGGCGAAGACACGCGTGAAGGCTGCAGATGGGCTGAGCGCTCAGGCAGGATGGGTCCCTCCGCATCCTCACGAGGGACAGAACCGGGTGCGTTTCCAGGGTGGTTTTTGCAGTGGAAGCTGCGATCGGATCGCACAGACCCATCGTGATCAATGGGGGAGGTGTTGGCACGGCTGCTCCCTGCAAATCCGCTCGTTTTGCCCTGACGATTTCACTGGGAATGTGAAAAGCTGTTGGAATTCCACTTAGCGTAAATTACTGCTTCATTTCAGCTTGATTTTACTGGGAATGTGAAAAGCTGTTGGAATTGCACTTAGCGTAAATTACTGCTTCATTTCAGCTGCTTCTCCTGCCGTGCGTGGGGTTGGGAGAGCAGAATCCTTCTGTTTAACCCTGCAAAAGTTGCTGGTTTTAGCTCTTGTGTTATTTTGGCTGGTTTTACTTATCAGTAAGTTTGGCTGAGCCAAACCAGCCCATCAGCAGCTCTCCCTTTGCTTCCTGTCACACTGTGTGGGCATTTGCAGACAAACGAATCCTCCAGCAACACCAGAATACGATGCCCTCTCTTTCTTTAGAGCAGCTTTGCAAAATTACTCTTCGAGCCCCAAATCTCGCATTGCAACACTTCGCCCTCGGAGGAGTCAGCAGAAAATTGCTGAGGAGCACCATAAAATTCATGCAGTCCTATGAAGCAATTGGATGCCATTACTGAGAGGTCTTGAAAGATCCCTTGGTGTTAAATCTTTTGGAAAAGGGGCTACGGAGTCTCTGGGCAAGCGGCCGAGCCGGTTGGCAGCAGGGCAGTGCCCGTGCCTTGCCATGAGTCAGAGGCATCATCTGACAGGCTCTGCGTATCTGCACTGCTGCTCCCATTTCAGCTCTTCAGCTGAAGATCCCTTGTTTCTCCTCAGCCTGTGCCAGTTTAATTAAATCTAACCTCACATTTACAAATTCCCAGGGGAAATCCCAGTGCTCAGTGCACTCCATACCCAGAAAGATGGTGATCACAGAATCCCAGCATGAGGAGTTGTCAGGGCCCTCTGGAGCTGAGGGCCCAGCACTGGACACAACATTGCAGCTGTGGTGTGAGCAGGGCAGAGCAGAGGGGCAGGAGAACCTCTCTGCCCTACAACCACCCCTTCTCATCCAGCCCAGGATGCCATCAAATCCTCAAAATTAGTCCTCCAACCAAGACTGCCTCTGCGAGCAGCTCTCATGCAACCTCTGCCCAGACACATTTTCTGTGAGATCCTGATAGAAGAGGGATGTGAAAACAAAAGAAACAATTTTATGGGCTGAGATTTGCCCTTTTGAAGTTCCCCCCGGGCATTTGGGTCAGGAACGGGCTGCCTGGCTTGGCTGTTTGTTAAAAAAAGAAACCAGCCCAAACTTGTGATGCCCTTTCCCAAACCTGCAGGCAGCTGCCAGGTACCTGATGGGAGGCAGCCGAAAGTGGGTGCTCCCTGGGTGCTTGCTGTTCCGGGGTGCCAGGGAGGGCTGTGGTGTAGCCACACAGCGCTGGGCTGAACTGCACGATTTTGGGCTAAAACGTTTGCTGCTTCCTTTATGAAGAGGTGAAAGCGCCACATGACATCCTGTTCACACAGGCAGGTGGGGAGCGTGGCTGTTCACAAGCTGCTGCTGGGCTTTCATAAAGAAAAACAGGCTGAAGAGAGAAAAAGGATCAGAATACAGAATCACAGAACACTAGGAATTGGAAGGGACCTCAAAAGATCATCCAGTCCAATGCCCCAGTACATGACCTCCTATAGCAGATATTATTAAGAGGGAAAAATGATGCTTAATTCAGGGCTCATTCAGGGCCCTTTGCTCAGGGTACAGCAGAAATGGGGTTAATTCAGGCAGTTTGGGTCCAAAGCAGGACGCTGGGGTTAATTTAGTTCAGGCTCGGGTACGTGCCGGGCTGCTCCGTTGCGATAGCGCCGCTTTCCACCCCGTCACGGGCTCTGGGCTTTTGGCAGTGGAATATGTGAGCTGGGGATCTCTGAGCTGGCTCTGGTCACTGCTCAAAGCAACAAATCCATTATTCAGCTGTGATTAACCCGAATTACCCCACCAGGGTGCACCCTGGCTGTGCTGAGACTGGGCCGCCAGAGGCACATCCTCAATTTACGCTTTGGCATTAAGAAAACCAAACCCTTTGCAAGCAGCTCCCTGCATCCTGGGCTGCAAATTGGAACGCGAACCCATGGCTGCGTCCGCTTTCAGCCCCTGAGCTCCCTACGTCGCTGTGTCTGCTTCTCTTCAGGGGAACTTCCCTGTCTGCAAGGCCTGGCCTTTCCCAGTACGGGGGGCAAATGGGGGCTGGAGCCCATGTCTTGCAGGTGCCTTCACTGCTTTTTGCTCCATTTGGGTGGCTGTGAATGCAAACCCCTTCCTTGCATGGATCCTGCATCTCACGAGCTGCATCTAGGTCTGATTGCAGTCAGCTTTGGGGATTTCTGTGGAAAAAAAACCACATTAAATGACATGGAGCAGGACACACTCGCTGCTGTGAGGGGGGAAACGGGCTTTGTTTGACGTGGTGGTCCTGGTGGGGTCTGTGCCCACATCCCCTGGCCCTCGCTGCTCTGACACCCACAACCTGTCCTCCAAGAGCAGCCTCATTTCATCCCCATTCTGCTCATAACGCTGCTACAAATTGGTTGTAAAAGCCTTAAATCAGCTGTTGCAATAAGAAAATGCAAAAGATACCCAAGCTGTCCAGGCTGTGCACACGGGGACGCGTTCGGACACTCAGAGACGCCATCCTGCGGCGTTTGGCCGTGGCCACCTAAGCCACAACCTGCTCTGCTTTGCTGCTGAGCAAAACATTTCCCGAAACTCCGTGTCCTTCAGCGAGCGATTTTCTAACGCACCAACGGCACCAAAAGGACACCCACTTCCTCAAATGCAACGAGCGCCGCGCAGAAAGCAACCCGGGGCGGCCACATTTCGGCGCGGGCTGGGACCGGGGCTGCTGCGTCTCCGCATCAGCCAACGCCGGGAGCGAATAGGGGAGCAAAAAAGGCAGCATCACCTTGGCATCGTCGAGGACGCAAGACGAGAGCTTTGGGGAAAGCAGGGCAGGAAAGTACTTTTATGGGGTTGTTCACGGCCGCTCTTGGAGGAGGGAGGAGGAAGTACGTTGGCAAATCAACCCTTGCCGAGCGGTCGCTCTTGGTGGGGGGGATTGCACCCCAGGTGCAGGAGCCCCACGGGACCATTGGAGCTTTGTTTCGGGCTGTCTCCTGATCGAGCCCCCTTCAAGGAAAAAAAACAAGGTCCCTCCTAATTCAAAATGTCCCTCAAGCTGCCACGGAACTGGGATTTCAACCTGAAAATGGATGCTGCAAAAATAGGTACCGTGGCTGCTGCTTTATGCCCTTCTTGTTTCTGCTTCAGCCTTTCAGGTGCGCATCGGGGTCTGCCGGGGTGCCTGCGGCCAAGCCCAGCAGTGATTTCAACCACGGCCCAGACCCAAAGACACTTCTGGCCTTGGTGGGGGGACCTGGTCCCCAGCTACCGCTTTTGAGACAGCAAACGGTTTGCAATGGATTTGCAAGAAGTGATTTGCAGAGTTGTCACCAAGGGATGCCATGGGGCTGTGGCTCTGGGGCCGGAGCTGTCTGGGTTGGGTGGGGAATGGGGGGACCTGGGAGCACGAGGCTGCTGCCCACCTGAAATCCAGGGCTGGGGGGCATTTAAACCACTCAGGCCCGTTCTGCTGGTCTTGCAGGAGGTGAGGTGCAGGTCAAGAGGCGGATGGAGCGAGGCAGCCTCTGCTCTTGCTCAGGTTTCTTCAGCCACCCCAGCGTCATTGGTTTCCTCTCACCGGTGACAGAGTCCTCTGACACCCGTGCAGGGCTCTGTGCAATGGGATGGCTCCACCGTCTGATTTCCTGACTTATCTCCTGCCTCTGTCCAGGCTTCATGGCTCTTTGCTGCCATGGGATCCATCTCCAGCACGAAAACCGCTTGAGAATGCCTTTGGGAAGGAGTGAGGGATCCCTATGACAGGCTCTGTGGCCAAAATACCATAGTGGAGCAAAATACCATGCATCAAGAAGTAGAGAGGGGAATGGGGGGTGAGGATGGGGTGCACCAGCCCAGCCGTGTCCACGCACTGAGGACAACTCCCTCCGTGGTCCTGGCTCCGGTGCCAAAACATGGTCAAGGCACATACGTGCCACGTGAATTCTTCCTGCAGCAGAGAGATCCGACCAAGGCGGTCTCTGTGTGCTGAGCTCTTCCTCCCTGTACATTGGGTCATCCTGTGAGGTTGTCCTGGCTGGGTTTTCTTGCAAAGGCAATTTGGATTTCTGTCTGAAGCTGCTTCCGTTGGGGTGACCAAAGCATTCACCTCACACAAGGCCCCACGTGAAGCATTGCTGCTCCCCAGCAGGATGAGACCCCAGGTGGTCCAGAAGCTTGTGGTGTCAACACCTGCACTCATCAGCTTGCATCATTGAAGCATCCTGGATTTCTGCATTGCCCGTTCTTAGGACAGTTAACATTTTTTTTGCAAAAGGAGGAGCAGTGGGTAAATGCAATTGGGAGCTCAGAAAAAAAGGCCAGGGGACACTGAGCCTGCTGGCTGCTGGGAAGCAGAGAGATGGGCCACAGGCTTGGACCTGTGGTGTCATCAGGAATTGCTTTTTCCAAGAAAAAATCTGCTCGCAATGAAATTCTGGGTGCTTTTTGCAGCTTGCAGCTGCAGCAAACCCGTGAGATGAGGGTTTTGTGTGTGTGTGTGTGTGTGTGCACAGACCTGAGCAGTGGGGCACAGCTCGGTGCATCGACTCTTCTCATTCTTGGGGTTTCTGGCTGCGGGGACCAGCCGCTGCCGTTGCCAGGGGTGCAGCAGGGATGTGACTTGCTGCTGGAAAATAATTGCAAATTAGTAATTAGTCACCAGCGCCCTCGCTGGCTCCTCCTGGCTCCAGGACACTTCCCCCTGCCATGGCACAGGCAGCTCTTTTAAGGACGGTGCGCCAGCTCCTGTGTGCTTCCTTGTGCTGAGAAAAACGCAAAGCTGTTGATTTCAACGGAGAAAACTGCATTTGCAACTTTCATTGCGAAACCTATAGTGGCTCTTTGGCTTTTACTGTTTTTTATTGCAAGTAGCTGACGCCTCTCCTGTGGGGCAGGAGCAAAGGGGATGGCAGGGAGGGATTTGGACTAGGATTTGGGGGAGGAGCCAGTGTTGATGTGGGTATCGTGGTGGCACCCAACGCAATTTCTCCTGCGAGTCACACTTTGGCAGGGCTCCTCTTTTCGGGGAGCAGGCAGCAGGACACGGGCACCCCAGGGCTGGAGGAAGAGCAAGGATGTTTTGGAGGAAATATTCAACTTCAGAGGCGGTTACTGCAGGAAACACTTCAGGGGGCACCACCTTTGCCCTTAGTGGCTCTTTCCTGCCCTGCAAGAGTGGCAAGGAGCAGCAGGGCTGAGTGTGGCAGGGATGTGATGGTGAAGGAGGAGATGAGCAAGCGCTGGACCACACTGCTGAGAGGCAGGGATAAAGCTTTGCCCCTGCCCTGCATAGGATTTGGAGCTGGTCATTGCCTTGCAAGCTGGGCTTCGCATCGACCACAAAAGGTAGAAACTTGGAAAAGTGGTGAGGGAGGGAGCCACAGCCTCGGTAATTCTGGTTTTGTCAATGCAGAAAACTTTCCACCAGGCAAAAATAGCCTGGGTGACTGCAAAGCCAAGCTCCCCACAGCAGCTCCCTCCCCACGCCCCCGCACTGGCCCTGCGGTGGGGACAGTGGCTGGGTCTGAGAGTTCGCATCGTGGGGTAAGAGGGATCCTGCAAAACGCTATTTCGAACGTAAATGAGCCCAAAGTACAGGGAGAGCTGTGTCATGCAGAGGGAAAATACATCTGCGGGGTCACACTGGGGTGTGTGTATGTGCACGAACACAGCCAAGCCGTGCCTAAGCATAGGCCTCCTTCAGAAGGGCTGATGTTAAAGAAAGGGGACCCAGGTGTCCCCCTCTGGACGCACATTCCTTATGCACCCTGGAAAGGCTGCAAAGAGGGAGAGAAAAGCCTTATCTCTAGTAAGAACTGGGCAATTTAAGGTCAAGGCTGAGAGCAGGAGGAACCCCTGCGTAGCAGTGCCTGCTGGGTCGCTTCCTTTCCATGGTGCAGAGCCTTGATGGGCCTAGAGGGAGATTAATACCTCTGAGAAAAGGTAGGAAAACATTACATTTTTCATAAAACACATGATTTCTCCTTCCAAGTCTTGTGCTGCTGGAGCATCAGTGCTGGAAATCCCTGATTTCCACCCATTGGGATGCAAATCTGGACCGGGCGAGCTGCATTGCAACAGCTTCACTTTGGGTTAAGCCCTTGTGGTCATCGGTGCTTACGGAGACCTTGCTCTGCAAACGTTAGCACTAATTAAACAGCGAATATCAGCATCTCTGTTTCATCGAGGGGGAGATGAGGTCCTGTGAATGAACAGAACGTCCAGCAAAATTTGGGAAGGAGTGGGAGTGCTGCCTTCTGCAGAGCGGGGCTGGTTTGGAGCCAGCCCACTCGGGATTTGCTCTTTGCGATGAGGTTTCTGCAGAGCAAAGTGTTCGTGGGAGGCAGGCAGCGTCCTGCACCCATAGCCTCCACACTCCCAGAGCCTGCTTCACCTCTGCAGATCATTCCCCAAAATCCCTGCCCCCGAGGAGTTGGCAGCAGTCGCAGGACACGAAGAAACATGATTTAAGGAGAGGAGCGATGCTGCTCGTGAGCAGTTTGCTGACAATCGTGTTCATATTTATGAGGTTTGAGTAATGCAGATGTTTTGGCAAAGAGCAAAGAAGCTGCCCAGAGCTTGTGGTGCAATTTGGAAACCTCATTTTGGTTTTGCACGAGGGTAATCCCCAGTACCAGCACTTTTCGGGGGAGCTGGCTGGCTGATCCCTTTCTAAGGTCCTTGCTTACCACCACATCCTCTGCAGGGGCATCCCACATCAGCGCACACTGAGATACAAGCAGCACCCTTAGTGCACTTTACAGGCTGGCTTTTGGATTTACAAGCCTTTTGGATCCTTTTGGGAAGTGATTTGCAATCCTGTGACAGGTTTGTAGTGGAGAGGTGAGCCCAGAGTGCCCCAAAGGACGAAGGCAAAACACAGCAGAGTTTCTTGCTCCAGGGGATTTCAGAAGGGGAAGCTGGGTGTGCTCTTGAACTGCAGCACCCCTGACCTCTGAAGTAGCTGCGAACTGCTCGGCACTGAGTACAAAATATTTAGTGGCTCCCTGTGGGCGTGAGATGCCCCCAGTACCAGACATCACAAGGCTGTGGCGGGTGATTTTTAATTTTCTCCTTTTTTCACCTTGTCCTTTGCACTCAGGTCCACGCCAGGATTCATCGACGCTCATATCTAATGCAGCTTTTGCGGCTCTCTGCTTCACCAACCCCCTTGGGGGAAAAGTGGGCATCGGGGCAGAGATACGGGGCCACCACAGCTTCCCCCATCCCATGGCGCTGCACTCCCTCCCTGCCCTGGCTCAGCCTGAATTCCTCTGCCCAAAAGTGCCCCTGGACTCAGGGGGGGAATCCTGCACTGCCCTCACCCATCGGAGCCAGCCAGGAGCCATCAGCTCCGTTATATCATGGGTGATGTAGGACATCAGGAAACCACCATGCACAGAGACAGCGAAGCTGAATTCCCCTGGAGTCATTTAGTTATTTAAATGCTAATTCTACCCAGCAGTGTCTGGTCCAGAGGCAAAAATCCCCTCTGGAAATGATCCCTCCCAAGGAATTTACTATGAGAGAAGCATTCAGGGATGCCACTGGATCAGCAGCACCAATGGGACTCACCTACGTGATATAAAAAGGGGACAGGGGACGCTGCTCTGCCCAGCCCATAAATCGACACTGGCACTTTTTTCCCCCTTGGAGTCTTTTCAGTGCCGTTGTGTGAGAGCTGCCCCACTGGAAACACCAGGCAATGCTGTCCCAAAGCAAAACTGCCATTTCCAAACCAGGTTTTCTGTTCAAGCCAGGCTGGGTCATTCTGCTGTCGCTGCTGCAGGCTGCTTGGGGTGGGCACAGAAAAAACACACAGTCCCATTAAAAAAAAAAAAGAGCTAATGATTTTCTTCTCACTTGCAAGACAATTACTCCCACGCAGGAAAAAGGAAGCACACACTGACAGATACTGCAGCCACTTCCTTTCAAAACTCTAGCCAGTTCGCTCCGCGCAGGCAGAGGGGCAGAGAGCCGCTCTCGCCGTTGTAGCTTGAATTGGCCTTGGGGACAAGGGGTCTGCTGGACTCTTGGCCCTGTGCGTCCTCACCAGCCCGTCCCTCTCTTTCCTTGGCAGCGCGCTCCAAGAGCGTGATGACCGGCGAGCCCGCGGGCGCCCGCCCGGCCTCCCCCAGCCCTCTGGAGCGGCCCCTGAAGATGGGCTGGCTGAAAAAGCAGCGCTCCATCGTCAAGAACTGGCAGCAGCGGTACTTCGTGCTCAAGGGCCAGCAGCTTTACTACTACAAGGACGAGGACGATGCCAAACCACAGGTAAGACGAGGCCACTGGGCTTCGCCGGTCTTCAATATCCCTTTTCTTGCCACTTTGCTTGTCGGGGTATGGTTTGGGATGGGCCTGGAGTATTGTATTAAAGAGGTTCCACAGGGGAGTAACAGAGATGAGATATCCTGATCAGGATCATCAGTGCACTTAAAGTGCCTGCAAGCCCTGCTGGGGGCTTGGTCCTAACGTGCCCAAGCCATGAAGTGCTGTAAAAAACCCAAAGTTACCAACTAAGAAGTTGCTATCGTTCTCCAAGATGACAGAAATGGGCTGGGGAGAAAAAGAGCTCAATACCCCACCATTTTTGTGATGGTGCACAAGGTGCCAGGAGCTTTGAGAGAGGCTTCAGGCACCTTACGGGATGCTTTGAAGAAAAAACAAGCAGGAATTTCAGCACAGCCTGGATGTGAGGATCTGCCCAAGACAAAGCTCATGGTGGGGCTGTGGGCTGGAGAGATGACAGCGAAGGGCAGCTGCTTCCTTAGGGCCTCTTGTCACAGCAGAGAGCAGCTGCAGGATAAGCAAAGGAAATCTCTCTCTCTCTCCAGCCTGCGGGTTTGTGTCCCATCCTGGCTCAGCCCCGTCCTTTGCAGAAGGCTCAGTGGTGAGGGTGCAGTTTGTGTTACTGCCCTGCGTGGCCAGAGGAAACTGCCCCGCTGCCTTCTCCTCTGAGGGCAAAGGCTTGAAACCCGCTGAGCGCCCCAGTGCACCTCAGTTCTGAGGCTTTTGGAGATCCCCAGGAGAGAAGAATTTACACCCAAGCCTTTGCATAAAACTGGAGTGTGATCGAGCATGATTTAAACATCTGCACCAGTGCCCGATGTCCGCAGCTCTCTGGCAGCATCATCCCATTTTCAGCCTCTCAGGGTTTTAACAAGCCCCCCTGTCTCACCCATATAAAGCATTTCTCAGGTATGCATTGTAGTGCACTTGCCAGGAAGAAGTCAGGTTGTTTTCCCCATTTATATAGTTAAGTTTTTAGCTTTTCGACCATTTTCTCCACACTGTAACTTACTTTTGGAATATCCACCATCTTTTCCTTGTTTTGAGGAATCTCAGGGAAAAGTCCTCCACTTGTAAAAGCCCCTCTCTGTACAAACTGTTCCTGGGAGCAAAACTAACCTCAAGACCGAAAACACTCGTAAGGGGAAGGCGATCAGTAGATGCTCAAGCTGAAATCACAGGGCTGAGCCCGGTGGGATCCAAGTCCCATGTCTGGCATTGCCTCATTTCAGGGGTGACAGAGGAGGGATGTAGAAACAGAAAGTGCCGTGAAAAGCTTACTGGTACTCATGGCCCTCTTCGCAGCTCTTGTCATGACCCTGATGCACCATCCTGGGTCATTTCAAACCTCTCTGATGCCAGCAATGATTCTGATTGACACAGCTGCAATTTGGGGTGGGTGCTGATGGTCCCCTCTTTGGGCAGGAGCCCAAAGGCTTTCAGGAGGCTGAAATAGCCGAGAAACTGAATTATTTCTGTGGCGCAGCCTCATTTCCTGAGCCAGGAGGCCCTGGTGCTGACTCATGCCCGCTCAGTCCCCATGTGCCTCAGCTGCTCCCCACCCATCCTCTCCAGCGAGACCGAACTGCCCATGTTCACAACAGCTGGGGAAAGGGAGGTCCCAAAGAAATGGCCATTTTCCACCTTGATATTTTAATTTCTTTCCCTTTTTTTCCCCATTTTCTCTACTTTCTTCCTGCAAGCTTCGGGTTTGTTCTTTGGTTTTAAGTGATGCTGTGCTAAAGGAGCAGTTTTCCTGCTCTGCTGCAGCACAAACAGGATGCACCGATGTTTTCCCAAGTCCCTTCTCCTTTGTTCTTTCTCCTTCCACTCCCTACAGGGGTTAAAAAAACATGAGAAGAGGGGGAAAAAAGGCAAAAGGGAGGAAAATAACCAGTTTTCTCATTCTGAGAATCACTTCATCAGAAGAAGTGGCATTTAAGAAGTGTCCCTTATCGTTTGAAAAGTAATTTTTAGCATATATATATATATATACACACATATATATGCTATCTATATCTGTAGGCCACCAGGTCCTGAAATCTGTTTGAAATAAGCACTTTGATCCTTAGCACTGACTCATGACACAGGTCCCATCAGCTCCTGCTCTGCTTTGTCCTAGGGCTGCCTGACTCTCCAGGGAAGCACCATCAAGGAGGTGGCCAGCAACCCAGAGGAAGGAGGGAAATTCATCTTCGAAATCATCCCAGGTGAGGATGCTTCTCTTTGCTGCACACTTTTGGGCTGGACCAGTCCCCCCAGATCATTTGGGCAAGTCATTTTGCCAGTTCTTTTGCTCCTATTTCTTTTCAAGGTCCCCAGAGTGCTGTGTTTCACATGAAAATGAATATCTTGCTTTCGGTATTCCCACGTCAGGGCTGGGGGAGGGCCCTGTGTCAGTGCCCATGTCCCACGCTGCAACGTTCAGCAGTTTCTGTTCCTTTCTTGTCAACCTTCCGCAAGGGTGAAATTTCACTGCTTCATTTCACAGCCAGATAGACATAAATGGGGAAATTTGGAGCTAAAAGCAAAGAAAACAAGAAGAATGTGGGGTTTTTTTCTCCTCCCATCATCTCTATAAATGTTTTTTTTTGCAGGGGTGTGTGGAGAGCAGAACTGGACAGGGCAGGACACCTGTGTGCTCATGGCTAATTCCCAGTCTGAGATGGAGGAATGGATTAAATCCATCCGACGAGTGCTGGGCTCAACATCAGGAGGTAATGGGAAGCAGGGATGGCTCCTGGAGAGGCAATTTCATTACATACTATGCAGCGCTTTTGGGCAAAGATTTCAAAGCTGGGCTCATCAAGCCTTGAAACTGCAAAATGAAGCTGTGATGTGACTGTAACTTGTGATGCTTCAGGAACCTACTCCTAGACTGGACCCTTCGGCGCTGGGTCTGCTGCAAACATGGGCAGCGTTAAGGAAATGGCAGTCAAGCATGAATGAAGATTTCTGGGGTGGTTTCAAGCTCTTTTGCAAACTTCCTCATTGACTCCTTGACCTCAGAAAATGTTGTTCTCGAAAAACAAATCATATTCAGGGATAAAGCACTGAGAAATCTTGCCTTTCCTTGCTTTGCTTTTCTTCCAGCTTTTCTTGCTCAGCCCAGCCCTTCTGCTCGCATTTTCTCTACAGACTCTGCCTTGGCCACGCAATTGCCCTCCCCATGTACAGTCAAGGCTTGGATCAGGATCCTTCCTTCCATCCCCCCCAGGGTGCATTTATGCCATTACAAAATTGCGGTCAGGGAAGTACAAAACATGAATGGATCAGAAAGGAGCACGCCATAAATTTGCCAGCACAGGTGAAGCCTGCTGAGGGAGCAGCAAAGGCCACTCCAGCCACATTCCTTATAAAGATGAATTCCTATAAGCAAAATCCACCAAGGAAGCTCCAATGGGAGCCTCTTCAGCTTCTTCCAAAAAAGCCCTAACCTGAGGTCATCCTGAGCCTCTCCTTCCTCCCTCTGTGCTTTGCCCTGACTATTTATGTATATTTTTATAGGGTCTTTCAGCTGTAAAAGACAAGCATGATGGAGTTCTGGTCTCCCATAGCTCCTGTGTTAATAGAAATCATATTATATGCATACATGCATAATTCATATATTTATAATAAATATAAGTCAAATATGTGACCCTGCCATATGCACAGATAAGCTTCACCTAAATGACAGCACAGATGGTTTTTGTCTGTAACCCTGGTGTTTTCTGCCTCTAAAGTGAAACACGCTGTGCCCTGGGGCAGGCAGCATCACTCATCTGAAATGAGGATAGCACGAGCCAGAAAATTTCAGGGCATCGCCCCACCTGGATCTGATATTTAATAACAACTCTGCATCTGATCCTTGCTTAAACTTAGGAGGCTGCCAGTTTCCTCCAGCTACATAAAGTGACCTTATATGATACAAAATGTAAATATGTAGTAGTACAGAGAACCCTGAGGACAGCAGAGAAGTCAGGTACTACAGAGCTGCATTTGATGTCAATGCACAGGTTAACAGACCCCAAAGCTTCACACTTTAGGTTTTCGGCTTCAACACAAGCTGAGGTAACGTGCTTTTAAAGCAGCCCACTGCACAGTGGAGGTTTTGGCAAAAAGCTGGAAGCAGCCCCGTATGACCCAGGCAGTTGTGAGGTTGTTGCACACCAAAAGGCAGAGCAGCTGTGAGGTGTGAAGCAACAGCAAAAGCATCTCCAAAATCTCAGAGGGGCTTTGGGGGTCTGCCTGCCACCCTACAACGAAAGCCATCGACCAGGGGGACTGGCATGGGCTTCGCATTGGGCCTGGGGAGGTGACCCGAGGTTAATGAATCTGCCAGCTTGCAGTTAATTAAGCAAATCACTATCAGCTACCAAAGCAGAGGGTGAAAAAAAGAGCACTGTTTGTCTTTACTGTACACAATTACAGGTTTATATTCATTATTCAAAAGTGTAAGCAAGTCATAAATGAAAAACCCCCATGATCAGGCAGGTGCCAACAAGCCCTGTGGTTCAGTGTTTACCTGCATTTTCCTCCAGCTACAGAGGAATTATTGCAGCCTTCAGAGCATGAGGTGAACACATCGCAGGGCAAAAATATTGCAGGGAACCATAGGACCCTGTGCCATTAATAGCCCAGAGCCAGTTCGAGTTGGGATTTGTCAGCTCTTATCATGCCCCAGGCTCCAAGGAGGAAGAGCTGGGATGCAGGCTGCTGCCTCCCCACCTTGGAGCTCTTCTGCTGCTGCGAGTTCAGGAGGAAAAAGCCATTGCTCCGGAGGAAAGGTATCACCCGCTGCAAAATATGGCTCTTCTTCGCACAGGGTTGCTTCTGGAGGGTGAGAGGAGAGGGAGGGAAGAGAAAAGCAACTGAATCAGTAAAACTTCCTCCCCAGATCTCTGCAAGGCTGCTTTTCTTATTTCTGCTTTCTGTATCCTTCAGGTCTGTGCAATGAGCTTGCTTTCTCTCCCTGTGCCCTCGCACCAGCCTTTTTGCTGTTCCCGTCTCCCTCTGTATCGGCACAGCAGAAAAAACAAGGCTCACTGCTTGGTTTTAGTCATTTTCAGAACTGTTAATTATTTGGAGGAAGAACAAGGTTTCATTTTGCTATTATTTCTTTGAAAGAAGTTCTGCTTTCCCCCAGTTTGCAGACTTCTTGTAGCTCCCATGCTATCAGAAAATCAGGCACTGCTGTTACGTTTGCATGATGCATTTTCACAGGTAAAGTGCCTTTAGCAAAGCTCTTGGGCTCCTCTAACCTCTCTGTCCTTTTCCCAGTGGTGTTCGGCCAGCGCCTGGCAGAGACTATGGCCTATGAGCAGAAATTTGGGCAGCACCAGGTCCCCATCCTGGTGCAGAAGTGTGCTGAGTTCATCCGGGAGCACGGCGTGAGCGAGGAGGGCATCTTCCGCCTCCCCGGCCAGGACAACTTGGTGAAACAGCTCAGGGATGCGTTCGATGCTGGGGAAAGGCCATCATTTGACCGGTAATGCTGGATTCCCCCTTTTCTCCCTAACTGCATCTCATACACCCCAAAATCTGGGGAAAAGCAACCGCAGAGAGCCCAGCAGTGCCCCACAGGAAACTTTGACTCTCCAGAAGGGCTTGACAAGGAGAGAGGATTCAGCAGAAGCCCCAAACTGAGGCAAAAGCAGAATCAGAGGGTGCTGAGATGAGATTTGGAAATAAAAGGAAGCATTTAGGAAAATCCTGGCCCCATGCAGTGGTTATCATTTGCAGGAGGAGCCAAGGAAGGAGGCAAAGGGAAGAGTCTACATAGCCCATTAGCTAAGGGCAGAGGTTTAGAGAAAGGAGAGCAAGTAGAGGATCACAAATAAGCTCTAAGCTCAGAGAACACCCCAGTGCACACAGTGGGGGTCATTCATTTCCTACTTTCCTCCTGTTGCGAGATATGGTTGTGACTGGGCAAAAAGAAGTGCCACATTCACAGAATCACAGAATCCCAGAATCGCTCGGTTGGAAAAGCCCTCTGAGATCATCACGTCCAACCGTTCCTGTCTACCCACTAAACCATATCCTTAAGTACCTCATCTACCCGCTCCTTAAACACATCCAGGGATGGGGACTCCACCACCTCCCTGGGCAGCCTGGTCCAGCTTCTGACGACCCTCTCAGGAAAGAACTTCCTCCTTCTCTCTAACCTGAACCTCCCTTGGCACAGCTTGGGGCCGTTTCCCCTTGTTCTATCCCCCATCACCTGGGAGAAGAGCCCAGCACCCACCTCTCCACAACCTCCCTTGAGGCAGTTGGAGGTGGTGATGAGGTCTCCCCTCAGCCTTCTCTTCTCCAGGCTAAACAAGCCCAGTTCCCTCAGCCGCTCCTCATCAGCCTTGTTCTCCAGAGCCCTCCCCATCCTTGTGGCTCTTCCACCACAACAGAGGCCAGGAGTGTCCTGGCTGCTGCGTGTGTATGAAGGTGCTTGAAGGTGGCTGTGGTGATGTTCAATGTCCACATGTCCCATGTGGGCACCTGAGCTCTGAGAGCCACCAGCAAAACCTGGGGTGCACCCAAACCCAGCAGCTTGCCTGGACTTTTGGGCAAAACAGTGGAGTTTTGCCTAAGAGGAGTGGAGGGGCCTTGGCTCTGTATTCACAGACAATTTATTTTCTGTTTTTACCTAGTTTTATGCAGCTTTCTTAGGAAAAACCACTGCACTTTTACCTGTGTAATCCCTGTGCTGTGCAAGGCAGAGCCATGGCTGCTCTGGAAGTGTAACCACCACAGCTGTTGGATTCGCAGCTGAATATTTCTTGCTTTCTGAGTGCCAGTGTCCTGCTGAGAGCTTTCCTGTTGTAACCTGTATGGGGTTCATAGGAAGGTGAAGCCTTTTTTTTCCCTCCAGATCAGTGTTTTGCAGCTGGGCACAGAGTTTGGCCCTTTTCCCAGCACCCTGCAATGTTAACCCTGTGCTGCAGGGTTTGGTATGAGCATTGCTGCAGTGATCTCAGGGTGACTGCAACCCCTGTGCACTTCAACCAAGACATTTTCTTAGTAAGGAGGAAGGCAAATAATGGGGTTTCCAGTGACCTGAATGCTGCAAGATGCTGGCTCGACCTTCAGTGGCACCCTGCCATCTTGCACAAGCATGGCAGGATTGAGTGGAGAGCCCTAGAAAGCTGCTGTTGCAGCCCAGGCATCCAGGATGCCTTATGGGGTGTGTTTATAGGCCCTACAAAAAAACAGCTCTGAAAAACTTCCTCTACAGTTATGAGCGTTTCTTAAAAATAATAGTATTTTTAAACCCCCAACCACTCCTAAAAATAAATGACCTGGGAGATTTTTTGCAAGAAGTTTACAACAGTTTAGCGACTTCAAGGTAGGTCAAATTAGGGGCTTACGATCTTGACAGTGTCCTTTTGACATAATGTAAACTATATGGTATGCAAAGCTGCAAACATCTGTCCCGGCAGAACATCTTCAGTAATTGCTGTTAATCTTAAAAACCCCAGGCAGAGCGGGGAGTGCCTGCCAAACATGCGAACACCAGACAATATTTGCATGCGAAGCCTCATGAGTCAAACGCAGGCTGGGAATGAACACTGGGGACCTGCCAGCCCCATGGTGGGGAAAACCTCCACCAAGTATTTATTTCCCTGCCAGCTGGGGCTGTTCCCTGGCTTGGTGTGGCCCCCCAGCTTGGTTTGCCCTCTTTATTTATCTCTCTCTGTCTCCTGCACCTATACACAGAATTTAGATATAATCTCATGCTCCCAGAGCAGGGAAGGGTTTGCTCGCCCACTGGGTGTGAGTGGTTTTCACGTGAGTGGCTCTTTGTGCGTTGCAGGGATACGGATGTGCACACCGTGGCCTCTCTGTTCAAACTCTACCTGCGGGAGCTCCCTGAGCCGGTTGTGCCCTGGATGCAGTACGAGGATTTCTTGCTGTGCGGTCAGGCGCTGGATGCGGATGAAAGGAAGGTAGAGATGCATTCATTTCTCTCCTTCTGGCCTTAAAATCAGCTGTGTTTCAGTGTCAGTGCTTTGTGAGCTGCAGATGCCAGGTGTGGATACAGCTGTGCAACTACTGCGCTTCGAAACCTGAAAAAAAAAATTAAAAAGGAAAAAGAATATATGTAAAAAATCTCCCAAAGGCAGTGGGATTTCCCAACCTGACAACATGGGTTTATCCATTTTAAAGCCTAAATTTCTGGAGCAGATCTAAGAGCTGCTCAGCACCTCTTTCTGTTGAGCCCCTGCAGCAAACAACGAGTGTGAAAACCAAGAGAGGAAGGAAACACAACCCCCTGCAGCCCCCATCAGCCCGAGCTGAGAGCAGAGCTGCAGAGGGCTCTGGGTGAGACCAAGGAAGGGAGTGGGGAAAAGTGAGAACAGATGGGACCTGTCTCTTCCTGACTATGTATTTTGGTGGAAAAGCAGCTTTCCCCAGCAAAAAAAGCCACTCACAGATGCTGTTCCTATACACAAAAAGATAAGGCAGATACCCTCAGCAGCATGAGCTCTGTGAACTGCAGTGTTCAGCCCTGTATTTCAAGGGCAAATGTTTTTTGTAGGTTGTTTCACTTCAGGATCTTTGGGGTTAAAAATGTCCTAACGTTTTTATCCAAGAAATGCAAGGAGATTGGGCATGATCAGCTCTTTCCAAAGAGCTTCTCGTGCTGGGGTGGAAGGGACCCTGCTCTTTCCTTGGCTGCTGTGGCAGCAGCAATGTGGGCAATGGGCTGCCTCTTCTTGCTGATTCCTGTACCAAAACTGCTCCATGTCCCTGCCTGGGTCTGCTGGAGAAATGTCATTTTCAAGGCCAAGAGGTGAGATCATACAGGGACTGATGGAGCCATCAAGAGCCATTCTTGGGTCTGTATACAGCTGGGAATCTTTATAGAGATATTTCTTAACTTGCATTTAGGGCCACCAGGACCTCCTGAAGCAACTGTCCCTCCTTCCCAGAGACAACTACAACCTCCTCAGCTACATCTGCAGGTCAGTCCTCTGCACAGACAGCTCTGAGGGAGTGTGGGTGAGCAGAAAAATCATCCCAAGGCTGAGGCTGACTCCCATGGAGAGAGGCTTCTTCAGCCATGGTTTGGTTCCCCTCGAGGCACCCACTGCTGACTTTTGTAAAGAGAGGATTTCAGCCATGGGAATAAACACCTTGGTGATGTCCGAGCATAAATACCTATCTTAAAACACACTTATGGATCCCTGAGAATCAAAGTCAAGTGCAGTTTTTCTAGACAAGCCTTGAGCACCAAAACTGTTGGGTTTCACCCAGCCTGGGTGATTTTTCTCTGGTTATTAAGTGCTAGATGGGGGTTTTCACTTGCTTTTTGATTCTTCTTTTGCATGAGCAGCTCATCACATAATGTTTTTTCTACTGATACCAGTAAGACCCAGCTCCAGTTTGAAGTTATATGTTTCTGTCCTTAGGACTTAGAGGAAGAGCTGGATGGATTAATCAGGATTTTATACCAGTGGGTGTGTAAGGCTTTTTGCAGTTTTCCTTCTCTGACTTGAAATGTTTGCCCTTGGATTGCGGCAGGTTTCTACACGAAATACAGTTGAACGCTGGTGTCAACAAGATGAGCGTGGATAACCTGGCAACAGTGATTGGAGTCAACCTCATCAAGCCCAAGATAGAGGATCCTGCAATTATTATGAGAGGTAAAAGAGACTCCAGGAGTAATTGGCATAGAAGCACCTGATGTGCTGAAATACTCAGCTGCATCCACAGTCTTGAAATGAAAAATTTCCTATGGTAGACCCATGGATATAAGCCAGACACGTGCCTGGGCACAGTAAGTACAGCAGAGTAGAGTAAAGCCATGTGTTAGGCTATAAATGTCTTTAAGGTGGCAAAAACCCCTTAGGAGTTGCACTGTGTGTTCCCTCCACAGATGTCAAACCATTCAGGAATTGGATGAAATCACCTTTCTTTTGCTTAGAGCAGGAAAGTGTGAAATTCTTCTTAGAGAAACAAAGGAAACTCACTGAAATTACTGTTTAGCTGAGCCAAACTGGAATCCCATGCAGCAGGACTAATAGAAGAAATAAGGCCAGAGACTTGCAAACAGTCCAGATATTCATATACCTGTTGGTATAGATGATAATTGTAGTTCTTTTGTCAAGCAAAAGCAGCACAATTTGTGGATTAGTGGAGCTGACTATCTTGGTTGCTGTTCTTGGACTGATATAAAAATCCCTCCCTTTATTTGGGTTTATGACAGTGTTCCTTGTCTTCACCTGCATTTGTATCTGCATCTCCAGTTTGGACACCAGAAAGACCAACCAGAAGATGCAAGTGTGGGTGGAAGAAAGACCATTGCATTGGGTTTGCTGCTGACAGATCCCTAATTTCTTCCAGGGACGCCACAGATCCAGAAGGTGATGACTGTGATGATAAGTGACCACGCAGACCTCTTTCCCCCATCCAAGGATGTGCCGCCCTCCCCACCTGCCCACAAAAATGACAAGAAAGCCCCCATCCCGCGCAGCTCCGTGGGCTGGGACTCTGCTGAGGACCCTGCGGCACCCGGGGCGGTAAGGCCAGATCCTCAGAGAAATAATCAAACGTGAACTTAATAAATGTGTGATTAATTAGGAGATTTTATGAGTCAGTGAGCCACTGAGAGTGCTTGCTATTAACAGGGTAAAGAGCTGTAACTGTCGTCTTTGGAATATCTACATCAGGAAAATGATGTAGATAAGTTTTCTGCTTTCCAATGGAAAACCTACTGTTCTGGGAAAAATAAAAACTAAAGTGAAAAGGCAGAATAGATGAAACCTTTTCAGTTCATGCTGGCGAAGTGAAGACATTCAGGATTAAAGGCTTTTCTCAGAAAGAATCTCTGCAAAAAGATTTTTTGATCAGAAAAAATGGTGCAGCCCAGAATAGCTTTTTATGGAAAACTTGTGGCCGTGCCATTAGCGTGTTAAAATGTGCCTTTTGTAAATACTGCAGTCACAGCAACCTGCGGCACAAGCAGGATGAGGCTGTCCTAATGCCAAGGGTCTGTTTTACAGAGAGGAGACCCGAGTTCCAGCAGTGCCTGTGGACGAGCTCTGAGTGAAGATAACGACTCCAAAGATACCCTGGGAATGTGGAAAACGCAGTCAAGGAAAAGGACTCAGACTTTACCTAACAGGAAATCTTTCCTGACAGCTGCTCCTCCGGCCGAGAAAGGCAGCAATGACAAAAGTGACATATTTGCCAGTGACTTTTGGAAAAGCTCCCCTGGGAGCAGTGCACGCTCTGCGGTCACCGACGGACATAAAAGAACGTTGTCTCATGATCTTTTTAAGCTGCTCGACCTTCACCGGGCTTCAACCTACGACAACGTTCCTACCTCGCAGGCGGAAAGTGGGGAAGGCAGCGGCTCCAGCCCCAGCCCCTCGAGCAGCGTCTCTGAGAAGGAATTTCTCCCCTGCTACAGTCCCAGCCATCAGCCAACGGAAGGAGCCAGTCCCACCACCAGCCCTGCCGAGGTCTCCAAACCCAATCGGGAGAGCAGGGAGTTCCTGCAAAACATGATCATGAAGCTGAAAAAAGAAATGGAAATACAGAAAAATGACTACGAGGAACAAATTAAAAGGTAACGTGCTGCACAGAGCTGCTTTCTGGAGAGTGTGAAGTCTTCGGCTCACGTTATTACAGCACTAGCATTGCACAGATTTATTTAGCAGTAATACCATGGAGTGTATAATAGTAATGATTAATGATAAAATAGAGTGTGATAGCAGGCTATCTAAAGGTCAATGCTCATGTGCTGTACTCTCATGACAGTTGCTAATGCTGTGTTACTACAATATTAATTCTCTGTAGTTTTTATTACATCACTGTGTGGCACTATAATGTTCCTGCAATAATTATACTGCCATAATTCTTGTTATTGCTACAATACTGTACCATTATAATCCACTGGTGGCATTATTACATTATTATTTGTAACTATCAGTGTTACTATAGCCTCACATGTCATCATCATATTATGATATATCACCGACATTGATTTATTGCATCGTGTGAAGTGGTCATTGAGGGTCAGGGGATCAGGACAGAACCTGGCTTGTTTTATTGCTTAATGACACAGAGGGCAGACTCCTTAAGAGCCAAACGATGACTTCCCAGCACTGTTCCAATCCAATCTGTTTCTCTTTGCAGTCTTGAGAAGGAGAACTACGAAGTCTGGGCCAAAGTGGTGAGGCTGAACCAGGACATCGAGAGGGAGAAGAAGAAGTCTGAGGAACTGCAGCTGAAGCTGATGAATGTGGAGCGCTCACGGGAGGAAATGGAGAAGAAAAACAAGATGCTTGAGGAGGAGATTAAGAACTTAGCTAAATCCATGAGCAAAACCAACTAGGAGAAGACACCCAGCTGTGCACAGACATAAAATGCAGCTGCATGAATTGGCAAGCAGGTTCAGAGCCAGGGACTTGTATCGTCCCGTGTTCTGCTACTGACAGGGGGCTGGTCTGGAGGAAGGAGCCCAGAAGTTGGAGGCTGGTTTATGCTCTGAAACGAGGAATTTCAAAACTATTCTTTAGCTTTCTTGGCGTGTTTTTTTCAACTCATCTTTCAGCTGCTCAAGATACCTGTAGAACAGGCCAATACTTCTTGCTGCTCAATCAGAATACCTTGCACTCAGGAGTTCAGGTTAAGGACACATTAGGCCTTTACCAGGCATATTTTTACAAAAATAAACCATTGAGCATCCCTCCTGCCAGCCGGCTGGCTCCTTGCTGAAGACACCCACAGTGCTTTTGAGTGGAACAAAAAGTCCATAAATCCTGGATCTGGGGAGACAGGAAAAGCCCCCGAGGTCTGGGGTGGCACAGCCCATCACACAGTGTCCCTGGGCTGCAAATGCTGTCAGCACCGCGGTCGAGATGTTTGCGTTAACACGTACAGTTGATTATTGCTCTTATGGAGCGAGAGAAGCCCAGACAGCCCTGTCTGTTCCACGGAGAAGAGATCTCGTACTGCATCACTCGCTGTGCTGTGCCAGACTCATCGATATCAAGGCTCCAGGTATAAAATCACAGTATCATAAAAACCTCTTTAGTGAAGTGGCTGTTCTGTGTTAAATCACTTCCTCATAGCCATGTGTATATACATCCAGCACAGCTGCTGACGAGGCTTTGGAGAGCACTTTAATGCATCTGTACATGGAGCTCTTTGTGCACAGGGAGTCCATCAGCAACTTTACCCAGTACAGAAAAGGGGCCTTCAGCATTTTTCCTGATTGACTGTTTTCAAAGAATAACAGATCTGGACTTATTTACTGTCTCTGCTTTTGATTTTCATCATTCCATCAGCATAGAACAGGATTTCCTCAGCCACCTTGGTGGAAGTCTTGGTTTGCACCCCAGCGATGATGCTGGATCTCCTGGCACTTGCTGCCATCAGTGTAAAGACGAACGGGACCCGAAGGTCTCATGGTGCCAGCGTGGATATCTGTAAATTTGTCTGCTTGTTTTCCACTGCCTCCCAGTACCATGATCCTGCTGAGGCTTTTGGTGTAGGAAAGAAAATAACAGGACTCTGCAAGAAAACCTTTCACTCCTCTTTGATGTTAAGGAGGAAAAACACCACAGGGCTCAGCCTTTCCCTGGGAACAGGAAAGGGAGAAACACAGAGATCTGCAGGAGTTTTCAAGCAAGATATTTAAGACCAAATGCATACCTCCGTGCCAAGCATGGTGAAGTTAATGCAACAACACTGGATTACTGCTACTGAGGACTTGGCTTTGGTAATACTTGGCTTTGGGTCATCTCCAGACGGGCTGCAGTCCTGCTTGGCAGAGCCTGCAAAGAAAAACGAACTGGAGAGAGAAAGGGACACAGGGAACTGTGAAATAAGGGACATGAGAGTGGGAAAATGTTATCAGAGAATAAAAGCCAGTACTGGGTATATAGCACTTACTGTGGGTATACAGCACTGGCTGCTATCAGCCTTGCTGGGGGGCACTTGTCTAGCCCCAAAACTGATCTCAAACTCCTTAGTCTCAAACTGAGATTCAGCTTGGTGTCTTGAATCCACTTTTGTTCAGCTATGGATATGAAGCACAGGTAAAGGAAAAGCTTGTGAAAGTTGAGCTGCATTTAAGAATCCGACCCATAAATAACTCATTTGACCTAAGGGCTCTGGCTCAGGGTCCCTTCCATGGGACCCCCAGAGACTGCCCAGCTCCTCACTGTCCTGCCCACAGACCTCCACACCGGGGAATTAAGGTTTTTCTGGAGACCTGCGTGGTGTTGCTGCATGGGGCTACTGCAAAATTACAGCACCTTCCACAGGACTCACAGCCAAGGTCCTCTGCTCTTGCAAAGATCAAATCTGATTCAAATGTTTCAGATCTCATGAAAATGTTTCAAATTTGATTCAAATGTTTCAAATCTAAAAGTTGGTAATTTGAAATCCCAGTGAGGATCTCAGTACCCCTTTGCAGGCCTGGACCTGCTGGTGCAGAGCTCTGCAGCCCACAGCCTTGCAGAGGGATGGGCACCGCAGTGCAGAGCCCCAAGGAGGACGGTGTAGCCTCCAAACCTCACCTTGCCCATCACCTGCACGTCCCACGCACTACAGCATCCTGAGATGACGCATTTCTTGTCTCCTGAAGTCTCTTTCAAGCATCACCACCACCACCGGTGCTGCAAGTCAAAGTTCCCACCATGCACACACAGGACCCACACCTTCCTGACTCTTAAATCAGGAGGTTTCCAAAGTGTCCGTGAGGTGCATTTTGTTCCCATTCATGATTCTTCTCTGGGCTTTCAGATGACCTTGACAGAGCTGCTTCAGTGTTCATTTAATTTTTTACCTTTACAAGGAAATCGTTACTAATCTGAGCACGAGGCTCAGCAGCCACTTAGGGAGGAACTTCTCCATGGGGTCTAGGAGAAACATCTGGGCTGGAAATGCCACACGCTCCTTTCTCCAGAGATCAAAAGTGTGAAGAGGGGAATAATTTCTTCGCAGCCCGGAGCAGACTGTAATGACGTGAGAAGGCTTGGCTGAGGCTCAGAAGTCTCTGCGGTTAGGACAAGTGCACGTTATTTTAGTATAAACTGCGCATTCCTCCACTTCCGCTGCAGATAGGAAAAGCAACCTCTGTCAAAGCACGACTGTTTTGGAAGATCAGAGTAGCTTCTTTGAAGATATCCTGCCCATTAAAATCTGCACTGTTTATAGTGGTCATATTTAGGAGATAAGGCTTTCCAATAGAGGTCAGGTGGGCTGGAAGTTCCTCAGTGCATGGGGGAAGTGAGCAGCCTCAGGGAGCGACATTGGCATCTTAGGAGCTGGTGTTGCTGTTGGGTGCTCTAAGGTAAGGAGGTTTTTCCTTTTTTACAAAGATTGTTTTTCCAGAGACAGAAAAGCATGGATCTGCCTATGCCAGACCTGTGGAAACTCTGCATCCCTTTCAGCCTTTACCCTCTCAGCTCAGCCATGCAAAGCCCAGAGCTGCACCTGAACACTCCCGATGCCCAAATCCTACTCTGGATTCAATGCACTTTGTCTGTTGGAGACCCCAGAACATGAGATCCCCCCAAACTGACCGATGCACGACCTACACTTCCTTCCTCCTGCTCTTTTTGCAGCCAAGGCGTGAAGTTTTTTGGGGAGGGAGTAGCAGAGAAAGTCTCTCCTGTTCCTGAAGCAGGGGTTGCTGCTCCTCTGTGCTGCAAGGACCATGATAAACTCTTGTTTGGTGGCCGCTTTCAGCTCAGCAGGCTTTAAGCATTGATTCTGGATATCCTAGAAAGTGTGAGACTACTACTATCATATGAAAGTGTAACAGAGAATAAAGAATAAACCCTGTAAAAAGGCCCTTTTCAACCCTGTCCTGGACTCTGCAGGCTTGGAAAGTGCCAAAAAGGAAGTTTTTCACCCCCTTTTAACCACTGCACAGAGGACACAGGAGCACCCCCTTCGAGGTGATGGGAAAGTGTAGCATAACCCACAGAATATACTGAGGATTTTCCTCTCCCTTTAAATGTGACATGACTTTCCAAATTAGAGCAATTAAAACTACAGATCTGAATGCATCTAAGACTGTTAAACCTTGCATTACGGGGTGAAAACAGGACATCTTCTAGGGTATCATTTTAGACCTGCTCTCACCGTCCGGTATTCTTTGCATTAGAGTAAAAAATCTGTTTTGCTCTTCTTAGCTATTTACTGCATTCAGTCAGGAATTCACTTCATTGCACCCAGGCATTTGGTAGGCGCGAGAGGAAAGAAAGTAGAATTATTGTTCCCACATCACTCTCTTTGGATCCCGAGCCAGTCGTGCTTATGCTGACTTATCCCCTCATATTTTATCAAAGTTGCATTTTTGGCATGAGAGTAACTTTCCTTTTATAGCTTGGCTACTGCATCAAATAGCAAGTTGTTGTGGGAGGCGAGGTGGACGTGCAGGAAAAGTGTCCAGCCATTATTTAGGGTGGCTTTTACAAACGAAATTAAAGCAGTGAGAACATCTTGTTCCCCCCCCAGGAATTAAAGAGTAACGCAGTCCGTCCTTCCTTTACAGGGGAGGGATAAGATACCACCAGAACAGGCTGCTTTTAGGAAGAAAAAGAGTGCCAAATTGAGACTTCTTGTATGAATAATTGTGGGGAGAAAAATAAAGTGCCCAGGCTTTCTGCTAAACCCTCCCTGGAAGCAGTCCCTGCTTTCTCTGTGTTTTCCTGCCACCTTGCTGCAGCACTGGGATGCTACGGAATTGCAACCGGAAAAATAACCTGGAGAAAATGGAGTATCCTGATAAAATGAGGGCAAACATGAGGGCAGAAGCAAGCAGACAGGGTCACAGGGACAGGATTTGTCTGAATAAGCTGTCCATTGGAGAATATTCTAGCACAAAAGACCTGCAAATTTAGGAACTCTGAGTTATTCAAGCAGATAAACGCCCTGTGCGCTTGCATGGTGAACACTGCACAGAGGCTCAGCTGGGACAGCTGCTTCTTTGGATAAATCACATTGCCAACAGCTCACCGCATGCTTGGTCTCCACTGAGAATAGTTTACCCTTTTAGCTGCTTTCCTTTACCAAATTTTCCTCAATAGGTAATTCCCATAAACAGAAGTGCTCAGCAGTTATTTGCGAACTTGTTTTCTCCAGAAATAGAGCTTATAACTTCAGCCAAATACAGCAACAAGGTGAGTGATGTGAATTTGGGTGCAACCAGGTGAGTGATGTGGATTTGGGTGGAATTTTCCCGACTGCAAGGCTGTGGGGCAGAGCAGAGACCTTGGTGGTGCTGCCGCCACAAGACTCCAGGGTGTGCTCAACCTTCAGCAAACATCAGAGCATTTACCAAGCTGAAAAATCCAGCAAGCAGAGAGCCCAGAGAGA